TTCACAGAGTAGAGAAGCTTCATGTTGCCTCTCTTCAGTATACTAAAGATACGTTATTTCAGGCATCACTTGCTCTCATCTCTCTTGTTTTTCTTGAGATAATGTGCCTGCTGTAGTGTCTATTTGAACAGCTGGCCTGGATAAAGTTCGGGATTGCCTAGAAACCCGGGAGCAGCATAGCCTAACCCTTTGCCTGACCCATTTCAACAGTGTTAGAAAGACACTTTTTCTATTTCAAAAGCTTAAATTGAATTACGGGAACCTCTGAAACTTGTAATTTAAGCCCCTTGATTAAAAGGGCAYGAGAAGTTTGCTGAGGCAGGGTAAAACAATTTCTAGGAAATGCTGTAACTACACAAAAAGGTRGACATTCTATCTTTGTATTTCTCCTATGAATTATGAAGTATCAAATACATATACCTATAAAACAGATGCTAATTAACTACAACAAAATCTGATTTTTGTCTATAATGCAGTATGTTGTCAGGACAAAGAAGGCTATTGATTAACACTCAAAAACATCAGGCACCTGTGCTGATCATGGACTCCCCAGAGCCATGGTCCAGGCAGCAGCAGCCTCTCATCAGCACAGCCCTGCAATGCAGCAGCTTGGCCTCAGCACAGCACTTACCCAGCTTGGGTGGAACAGGCTCAGGTGGTTAGGGTCTCATTAGGGAGCGAGGGCCTAATGAGCAGGAGCTCCCATGGCCTTCTGGGTGCCTCACCAYTACAAAGAGCAGCTTTCAGGGAACAGAAGGTTTGGTTGGTGCTGCTGCTTTTGGAGGGCAGAGACTTGCCTGGCATAGGCTTGGCTGGGAGGGAGTTTGCCCAGCTTTTCCAGATCCTTTAGAGGAAAAGTTTGGTGCTTGCTTCACCTTTTCTGGCTGTACAACAGCTAAGGATGGTACAGCCTGGACCTGGTACAGCCGGGTGCTTGAGGGACTGCAGCTGGTGTCTGAGGTAGGGCCTGTTGCAGGCAGCCTTTCTTGTGCTTTGTGTTAGCACTGAAATTCTTTAGGGAGAAACTGCCTTGTATTGAATGAAGGGGCTTCCAGGTCTCTGTTGGGAGATACTCGTGGCCTCGCAGTGAATGCTCTGCAGCAAACATCTGTGCAGCCAGGTTTACAGCATGGACAAGTACCCCAAACAGTAGCAATGACCATCTTTTAAAAGGAAGATACAAATCTTCATGAGAAAATATTAAAGATAGATGTTTCTGCACAGTCTGTTTATTAAAACAGCTTGGTTTTTCTTTGTTCTGCTTCTGCTTAGTCTGTGTGTTACAGCCAGCTGTCAGGTTACCAAATTAAGACTCCTTCTGTGAGGTTAGAACTAGGGACAGACCTAAAGCAGCTGCACCTGAGCTTATGCAGGCCCTAGGGCAGAACAGCTTCTTGCCTGGCTTTGAATTACTTCTTGTTCTAGAAAACCAAGATGGAAGTGATATAGAAAGCATACGGTTTGTGAAAAGCATTATTTTGTTTTGAGAGCAATGATCTTCCCAAATAAGGATGAGCTCATGAATATGAATTTACAGCTGTTCAGCAGGGATGCTGCAATTTTTTACTACCAGTTTTGCAAAGTTTAGCTTGAGGAAAATTCCARGATGCTTGACAAGAAGTTACTAATGTTCCAACCACAGGACAAGATGTGGATAGAGTCAGGTGGGCTCAATTTAGTGTTAAATTCAGGCCTTTCTCAGAGGGCTGTGTGGGTTTAGCAGGGTGCTTCTAGAACCTCTAATGGAAGGTTTGAGTTGACTGTGTTCAATTAGATCAAATAGATTTCAAAAACCTTTTTAATAGCGAATAGCTGTAAAAACAACACTAACTTTTTGGTTAAGTAACAAGATTGTTTGAATTAACGGTGRGTTAAGGAAAAAAAATGGAGAGTCAGAGAACATGTAGAAAATATCAGTTTGACTTTCAGAACACCGGCTTGGATTAAATATCTAGGTTGTAATAAGATAAATTTGTTCAGATGACCTTTCTCTACTGTTCGTTAAAAGATGATTTCCTACTCAATTTTGTTAAACACCTGTTTTCTAGCATTAATAACCTACAGCAAAATCTGATGGCATTATGTTCTTTAATGCACGTCTTTCAGCAGCACAACTGTTCAACTTTAAAGAGTTCAGCTTCTTCAACTTTAAAAAGCAATGCACTGGTGACATGAAATCAGATCTTAAGAGTAAAACTTTAATAATTTTAGAGAAGCTTTTCAAAGAGTGATGAAAATATAAAAGATAAGGAAATATGCGGTTCCTTTATCTTATCATAAACTTAGAAGTGATGCATAGATGTTGTGTAATGTCTTTTTATCTGGAAAATGTTCAGTGGTGATTTACACTTAGTGGCTATATGCCTGTAAACATGATACTGGCTCCATGATATGATAAAATATTGCCTTTGAATAAGCAAATGCACACACACATCAGTGGTCAGCTAACATCAGGTTATGTATTTGAACCACAGTCTGAATTATCACAGAATTGAAACTCTTGGACTATATAGTGAAGCAAAATCCAATTCCAGTAATAGATACTGTTTCTTAAGTTGTCTTCTAAATTACTCAAAAAGTGTTTGTGTTTTAGCTCGCCTTTCTGGGTCTTTGTGTCAATCCCTAGTTCTTTACATTTGGACTCACTAAACACAGGTGGTGTTTTGTACTTTTTTTTTTTAATACACAAATCTGCTAGTGGTAGGAGGAAAATAAAAGGCATCCAACAGTTCCTATTAGTTATAGACTAGACAATATTAATTAAGGTAACAAATACCAACAGTTTGTCAGTCTCATCAGCTAGATATATATGGAACAGTCAAATTTGGAAATGAGAATGGAGGCCCAATGATTTCATACGCTGTTTATTAAACCAGGGTAACCTATGGCTGCTTTCGGACAAAGTTTAAAATGAAGAGAATGAGGAAGAAAGTGTTTGGCAAAAAGCCACTTCCTTAGTGGTGCTTCGTGCGGCTGAATTGCCTCATGATTGCTTCATACGGCTATGTGCAAAATGAGCTTTGCTATGGTTAGTGAACATGGGAGGAACTTCTCTGTATGTGTCTGGCCTAGGAAGAAATTTAACTAGCAAAGTATTAAAAACAGTGGCAACCAGCTCTAGCTTACAGGGAGGAAAGAAGCCTTTCCCTGAAGGATGTGCATTTAAAATAGAAACAGCTAATACAGAATAGCTCCAGTCTCCTAATTTTTTCCCCTTKTTGAGGGGAGGGGAAGCAGGTGAAGGGCAGAAACTTCCTTATGCTGAGAAGTAGGAGTCCTGCATACTGTAATTTCCTGGCCTGAAATTAGTATCTAAAATAGCTGCGGTAATTAGACAAATCCAGACTGAAACAAAGCTAGTTTTATAACGAAGAGACATTACTGGTATTTTATTTATTAACTTAAAATCACACAAAATATAACTGCACACACGAACATACATCTGATATTCCAAAGTCACTATCTCACAAATAAAAATATCTCCTGCTGTAACTCTTAGCAAGAATCCAGTTTGCAAATCGTTCCTTTGACCATGAAGGCATTAACTAATCAAAACCATTCAAATTCCTCTTTCTAGAAATACATAGATGTTCTTATAGTCACACAGAGTTCAGAGGCAAGCTCTGCAGAGATTCCATAGGCAGAACTCCCACAGCAACCTTGCCTGCTCTGTGTTGGCAGAGTAAGTTTTTTGCCTCATTTTTTACAGTTCATCATTGACACGCAAACTTAATACTTTTAAATACTTCAAACAAGTTTTGCACTTTAACAAGCATTTACAAAATGTTTACTAAAGATCAACATCCTACATAAAGGAGACCTCAAGGATATGTTGTTGCTACCATGCTACAATTTGCACAGACGGGATAAAAAGGCCATTGCTAGCTCTGGAAGGCTTAAACCGTTTGTTGATAGAGCATAAGAATATTAACCTGTGGAAGGCAGAAGAGGTCATAATTTCAGTGCAATTACACAGTCAGTGAAATTACCCATTCATGACTTTTGTAAAGTACATCATGATGTTCAGTCCAAAAGACTACTTTTTTTTTTTTTTTTTTTTTTAAGTATTGAACATTTAGTTCTTTAAGAACTGATTTCATTGGAAGTTTCCAAGCCATCATGTCTGTCTTCTATTGGTGATAGGAAGAACTTGCATAGGGACTTTCTTCATTTTCCTCCTCTCTAGAAAAAAAAATCATGAGATCAGGAAAACATGTATTGCATCTCAATAGCAAAACTGTCACAAAAATGCAGGTAACTGGTATTGCATAACAGAAATATTATTTGCAGTGCAACTGCAGCATACTATTTTTTGTAGGCATGCCAGGAATTCTCATTACTTTTCATGAATGGGAAGATGAAAACAAAGCTATAGTAACTCAGGCTAGAAATGGAATGGCTGGAAAATGCAACCTGAGCTGAGGCTAACTATTTTAAAAAGTATTTTCTGAAGCCCAGATAAACACCCTCCTGAGGCAGCTGCTTTCCAGCCACGTATACCCACAACACAGTTGCAAACATGAATTTTCTGCTTGTCTGAGGATGGACTCAGGTTCTAGAATTTCAAAGCTCAGGATGAGAGATTCAGCAGGTAAAACAGGAGAAGGGCTTTAATTTCCATAACTGTGAGATTAGGGTTCCTTTTACTTAATTCTTCTGGCTTTATTAAATGCTATAAATTAGATGCTGAAGAACTGCTGGTTTTTTTCATTTAATCCTAGAAAATCAAAAGCAAGTAACTTGTATCATCTGGTCTTGTCATACCATATTAAGCTCAAAGACATAAATACAGTCAGAATGGGGAGGGGGAAAAAATCTACTTCTCTGTTTATAAAAAGCATATTTAATTACATAGCTGTATATAAAATCTTAGTTTTAAGAGCATCTCGTTCTCTTGCACCCAAAGCTGTTATTGCAACTTACATAATCATTTTCTTTAGCAAAGAAGGAATTTGTTAATTATTCAGTACAAAGACATTCATATTTAAACACTTTAATATTTCAATACTTCAAGATGAATCAAATGGTCCAAAAAGACAGTTTTTATATCTTGATTAAATATGAATTTAATAAAGCAGTGACTGCTCAGCAGGAGAAAAACTTTTTTATGCTGCATTCTGAAAATGACTTTGTACTTTTTATTTTCACTTTCTGTTTCTTTTCAGGAAAATTTTGTCATTGCTCAACTGCAAAAGCTGAGAATACAAGTGCAGGCAGCTAAAATGTGGTAGAGTTGGAACAAATCCTCCTTATCAGAGGCTGCCAAAATCAGCTTCCTTTCCATCATTTTTGGAAACATTAATACAGTGCAAGACTGTTCTTGCATCCACTATGACATGACAGTCACCAAATCTTAGACTGCAATTAGCTGTGGCTCTTTATGGTGGATAGGAAAAGCAAGTGTGCAGAACTGAAGAGGAGAAATGCTGATGTTGTATCAGTAGGTATTTGGCTGACTTCAAAGACTATATTGCAAAAGAAAAAAAAAAAGAGAGCTTAAGTTGTTCATCTTCACCTTTAAATATGTATTTGGCCTATTGGTTCTTATAGGGTAACTGGCAGAATCTGGCAGAGGCCTGGCATGGGGGGTCCTGGACAACTTTTTGGGGCCTCTATGAAGGGGCAAGGATGTAAGATGTGGTAGTTATGTTTGAACCTAAGGGAAGCAGTGACTTGCTTTAACACACAGAAGAAAAACCTTTCTGTCCAAGGTCTGGACACACTGCAGGAGGCAGTAAGGGGTCTAAGCAAGACCAGGTTCTAGCCTGCTGTCCCGGAGAGCAGGAACAAGCCACGGGGAGAAACCTCCTAACCTTTTGGAGCTTTTGCTCCAAACCCATGTAATGATTAAGAATCATGTAGATCTTCAGAACTGCATGCATCAAGTCTTAAAGTCTGTTTAGCTGACTTAAAAATAAGCCAAGCTTTATACTGTGCAAGATTATATGCTAGTACCTCTGATAAGTGCTCCCCAGACAGCAACACGGTAATATGTTTACATTTAACGATCAAACATGATCTTTCCTCCCATTTTTTGAGGAACTTATAACAGCAATGTGGTAAGCCATGCTGCAATTTCCCCTTCAGGCAAAGGGGAAGGAAGAGCAAAGCATTCCAGTGCTTTGTGGTGKTGTCTTTTCCTCTTTGCAGCTCCCACTTGGCCCAGCAATTTGCAGGTGCAGAAAAACATCTGCTGTAAGCTTTTATATGCAGCAGGCCAGAGGAACAAATRGTAACAAATGGTAATCATATATTAGCTGAGTACATCAGCTAATAGCTTTAGGAACCCCCAAAACACCATTCTCCATAGATGGCCTCACATCTGTATTCTTTTAGCTTATGCTGGTGAATAATTGCTGGACAATTTAATTAGCCGTGCTATCAATTTCAAATGTTTCAACATGTTGCTCTTTCCTAGGTTTGGTTCTAGGCAACTGAGCAGAATACAATATCTWTCCTAGCACTGCCCAGCAGTAGTTGTGTGTCTCATATAAGCAATCATTATTGGTGTGGCTCTCATCAATTAACAAGGCGATCAAAATCAGTCATTGCAAAAGGTGACTGCAGAAAATTGAGATCTGACTTGGAAGCACCCCGTGTGTCTGTAGTGATCTACACCAGCACAGTGCTACCCTGACATCATAAGGACTCCAAGGAGTTTGCCCTAGAGTTCTTGTATTCAATTGCCTGATACAAGAAGCACTGCTGAACTCTAAATTTGAGGTTCAGCAAACTGGAATGTATTTAATACCATCTTGGACAAGCCGAAACACTGATGTATTTTCTCTAAAACTATTACAAAGTGCTCTTCTGTTAGATACAAATAAAACTAATAATGGATATTCTTCCCTAACCTGTAGTGCATGAGTACACTATACATGTTACAGAAAATGATATTGCACATCTGTTAATCTTTTCATAATAAGCTAACAAAAAGCAAACCTGGGCTGATGGCTCTAGGCTGTCTACACACAGCTGCACATAGGTAAATCTGCCTGCTGCAGGCACACTCCCAAGTGCTAATTTCATGCTCTCTAGAAGAAGAAGAACTCTCTAGAAAAACATGTTTACACGTAGATCTACATCTATGTTTACATTAAATCTCTAACAGCAAAAGGCTCTGTTAGTGCAAACAGAGCATTTCACAATCTCTAGCATCTGTCTACTTCCACAGATATTAAAGTTCTACATCTAGTGTATTCATGCCTCGTTTCCACCTAGCAGCAGTTTGCTTTTGTAGAAGACGTCAACTTCAGAGACTTAATCTACTTTGAGAGTGATGGGGGATTTAAAAAAAAAAAAAAAAAGCAACTTCAAGAGGTTAGGATTAAACAAGGAAATTCACCTTGAGCTTTTTTGTATTTCTAGACAATTTATAGTGACTGTGAAACAAACCTGTGTGGTTTGAGCAAAACTGAATGTATGTGTACACATGTATTCTTAGCAGTTTCTATGGTATGGATACCATGGTATGGGGTACCATGGTACAGAGCTGAATGGTAACTCAGTGGCCCTTGGAAACAGTCTCCTCTGGTCCTGTTCTCTGTGATGGCCTTTGCAGGCATTCACACTGCCCCTTCTGCCACCTCTTGCCACATCGAAAAGAGATGAACACAGTTAGACAGGGTAAGACAAAGCCAATTTTCATGCCTCAAAGTGAGTGGTGGTTGKGTGGAAGGTGACATTAGACTTTATCAGACATTTAGGCTGAAATGGACTTCTATTTGCAGCAGTAGCTCAGTGCTTTAAGTTACAACAGARAAAATGATTCGAGACTTTATCCTGAAAGATTCAGAAATACTTCACATTAAACTGTTACTGATGTATATGTGCTCAACATTAATGGCAGTCTAGAGGAAAATATAAATGAAATCCTGTATTTGTATAACAACTGCACATATAAGTAGTTATATGTATGATATTATTTCATTYGTAAAATCTGCAGGACTTATAATAACAGAATGGAAAATGACTTCTGAGATTAGGAGAGATCATTCATTTAAAATGTTATTTTTCTAAGCCTTAAAACACAGAAAGCACACCTGTTCCTCATGGTGGTCTGTGTTAAAACATTGTGGATGACAGTTCTGCAGAACTTCCTTATGTAATCCCGCATACTGGGATTTTGTCTGCCTCCTAAGGGAGTGTTCTCCTCAGTGCAGCAGTCAGATTTGTTAGCACATGTTGAAGTTCTGCACTGCATGTTTCATGACTAATAAAAATCTGTGTCTTATGCATAATTAACAAAATTACCTGCTAAATTCAAAGAGGGGAAAAAAAGTATTTTGTCCTTCTGTATCCATTATTCTTGGAGAATTCATAGCAGGCATCAACTTCCCAAACTATGTCTAGGCAGGGTAGGATACATACTAACAGTAACAATGTTCTATTTCTGCAGTGTCAATCTCTTGATATTGGCTTGGACTTGGACTTAGAGAAGCCCTCAGGATGATGAAATTAAGATGCTGAATATTGTAAGTGACATTTACCTGACAGTGTCATCTTTTAGTTTTCTGGCTGCTTGTTTGGATAATTTGATCTGCAAGTCCAATCTTTGTAGAAAGTCTTTGGCAGATAGTTCTTCTGGTGCAACGGGCTGATTGTCGGGCTCTTCAGGGCTGGGAGAAGAACTACTGTCATCCCGTGCTGCGGCCWGCCCTTCCTCGCAGGAAGGGGAGCTCTCAACAGTTTCATTTTCAGGAGACTCCAGTGAATTAAGTCCATTAAACAGTAAAGGTTTCTCTGATATAACAGGTATATTCAGGGTTTTCCTCAGAAATATACAGTCATTAGTGAACAGTTTATTTGCCCGTTTTATTTGTTCCATCTGAAAAAGACAGAAAATGTAAGTTAATAGGTTTTAGCACAGTAGACAATGCCACCTTTCTGAACCACCATGGTTAATTCCAGTTGCTATGAAAAAAAAAGTCACTTTGCAGCTGCAAGGACTGTCTTAAAGGACTTTTTGCATTTAAGATTGCTTTGGACTCTATGTTCTGTCTGAACATTGGTTATGCTGAGCCTTCTAGGACATACTGGTTATGAACAGCAAGTTCCACAATTTTCAGAAGAGCAAATTATGCCTCACCTATATTAGTGTTGACTTTCAGTGAAAAGTTAGYCAGTAAAAAGAATGGGAAACTCTTAAATGTTTTGTTACATGGTCGCACAAACTGTTAGCTTCACTGTCCAGTGAACTGAATCCACAGCAGGATCAACAGCAACATCTTCTATGTAACCATACAGGAAAGTGGCCACCACATAACTGTTAAACACCTCTTACCATTTTGGTTAGTGTTCCACGCGACCTACTTGCCAGCACATAATACCTCATGACAAAGTCCAGCTAAACGGGCTCTATCTTTCTCTCAGTACTAAACTCTGAAGCCCTGCTGCTTCTGTAGCTATGGAATTCCTAATGGCTTCTCAGATGTATTGCTTTACTGAATAAGAAAAGCTCCCAGTAAATCCTTACTACCTCCCAACTAACGAGCATATTCTTTAAGTAGTGAGGAATATTTCCCCTCCTCTTCTCAATTACAAACTATAAAACTAGTGCTGAAATAATTTCTGTAAGACTTTTGTAAGATTTTGTTATAATGTGAACTGATACTGCTAGGAAAAGTCCTAATGGAGTGAAAAGAAAGAAAAATCACTAATCCTTTGGTGACTGCAACAAGCATTGATCCCTAATCACTACAATATTGTAATGATAAATGCACTCTAAATAAAAYGTGCTTGAAAACAAGTGTGAAGAGAATTCAAAACACCTCTTGCCTTAGGGGAATCCTGTTTACTTCTATTAAACTAAATGCAGATGAACTGGATAAGAATAGTATCGTTAAGTCTTGTGATAATAGCAGCCTATATTAGTACCATTGTCTGGAACACTCTGATGGCTCTAAGCACTAGTCAGTTGCACTTTCAGACTTTAAAATATTTTGAGTTTGGTTCTTGGATCATGAACATTTTCTAAGGCTGATAAGCCTAAGGTGGTAGAGCACTCAAACTCTGTTCTGCCACTGCTTGGAATCCATCCCACTGCAAAAGAGAATGTCAGAGAAGAACAGGGTTAACACGTTCGTGTCTCTTACATTGAACCTACTTGTAGATGAAGCTGCTTAACTGAGGTACAACAGGGGGAAAAGAAGTTTTCCTGCTCTGGTATGTCCTACTGCAAAAGGTGAAAGGTGTCCTTGAATTAACTTTAAACACAGCCCACTCTGGCCTGAGAGTTGACTCAAGAAACCGGTGAAGACTAAGACGTGAATTATTGGCACGCCAGTCTGCTCCAGGCTACCTCCGTGGCCACTTCCAGGACTGGAATAAAGCACTGCATGGAGTGCACAGAAACACACATGCTGCAGTGACAGTATCTGTTCTCGTGCCACTAGATCTGTGCCTGCTCCACGGCTGTGGTGTCATCATGCAGGGATGCATTTGCTTGGGTTCTTGGAGTCCACAATCTTTATCCTATTCAAAGATTCTCCCTGATAAGGCTGGATGCATGGAAAAGGGACAGTACTTGAAAGGGTAAAGCAGTAAAGGTCAAGTACTGAGTTGTTTCTATCCAGTAAATACATGAAAATGCTGCTGTCTCTGGAGAGAGAACCCCAGCCTGTTATTGGAGATGGCCCAGCTGATGGCTTGGTTGGATTTAACAGTCCCTTTCAAAAGAAGAATAATTAAGATCCAGTGTTAGACCATAAGTTACCTCTTCAAATAAAAGCATTTTCTTACTCTTTCAGCTCCAGAAGCCTGGAAACTAAATTATTTTTAGTTAATCTTGCACAATACAGTATACATCTTACTGCGTGCAGGCAACAAAAGAAGCTTTGCCTGACTTGCTAGTGAGATCTATAGGGAATATTAAACAAGTCAAAAGCCAAGTGTAATTTCTAAAAGTCTAATTTTGAGACATTTCTAATATCTTATTTCTTTGAGTATCAAAACAATCTCTTTTAAAATGCTAGTTGGAGCCTTTCTCTATAAAATACAGTACCAAAGCTGAAACWTTATCCCTACTAGTCTGGGGGACCAGGAAGGGAGCTGATTAATAATGCAGTTCATTGCTATYCTCTCCCCTCCTTCACTGTAACTCTAACTCTGGTTACTTCTTCTGGGAATAACTTTTAAATATCATCTTGTGTCACTTGGAGAAGACTGTGCATTTCTGTGTGCTGAGTAAAGACGCAGGAGGAAACATTTGTCTCTCAAAAGAACAAACTTTAGCCTTTAGCAAATTATTTGATTGTATGTGCACTACATTCTGCACTCTCTGCAACTCTGTACAGTACATAGTCAGAGATGTATGGAGAGGATGTAAGTACAGTCAGAGATGTACGGAGAGCGGTTCAACAGTAATTTTCTCTTCTTTAACTTGATTGCTATTAGCTACAGACCTACAATAGTGAAGGCTGTAGCATGGCCATCTCTTTACTACTATGTGCCGAAGCTGATGCTTTTAATACTGTAGCTGAAGTTGCACTAATGCATAAACTGCTGCTGAACTCATCAGTCAAAACAGCTTCCCCAGCAGCGAAACAAACAGGGCTCATCCCTCTCTCCCCAAAGAGGTGTCAGTGTGTGATGGAAAACAATACTCCCCCTGAACCGTAAGTGCTGAACACGTGAGTATTAATTCCCTAATGTTAATTTACCCAAGGGTCTTCAAAGGAAGGGCTAGTGAATARCAGCCATGCACATTTAATGGTCGGTATCTGAAGGGAAACGGGTGAAGGGAATGGGAAGAGGACAAGCAAAGTGCTCCATCTTTCTCCCCAGTGTGTTTTCCTCCCTCTTAAACTGCCTGTGCTGTRTCATGCCAACCTGGGCATCGGGCAGCACGCCTCTCACTGCGCCGTTGCTACCAGTGACAGAAACCACATGGGGAAACTTCTAAAAACAGTAAYACCTGAGGCAGTCTAAGATAATTTTGCTGGTCCACATTATAGCAACCTTCTTTTCCAGCACAGTATAAGGGACATAGGGAGTAAACAAAGTCTCTTTAAGAGTGAATCTGTGTAGAGTGAATCATGTGAAGGTGTAAGGATCTTCACCTTGTGTTAAAATAAACATTTGTATATGGTGTGAAACCTGTCACAGCAAAACCACAATGACAGATTTCTGCTGACTTTGTATTTACTACCTTTKGGTTAAGCTGCCATGGAATTCCCTTTCACAGTTTAGGTCTACAATGCTGCTGTTTAGGYTTCCTATCAGAATGCTAGCAGCAACAAATCAAGTGAAAAATGAGATTAAAAACCAGCATTCATACTTTAAAAGCATCAGTAACACAGCRAAAGCTTGCTTTAGCCACAGTATTAGCAAAAATGTATGTCTTTAATACCAGATAGATCTGACCCGCAATTTCCCTTTATCTGAGAGGGGATTCCGGAGTGTTTTGAAACGCCCTTCTAGAAAACTTCCTTTTCAGTGATCTGTGTGTACGGATTTTTCACTCATACAGCGCAGCGAGCCAAAGCGTTTCTGAAGGAAGGCCGGAACGGAGATGAAGATCACTGAGACCAGAGGCTCCGGCCGGGACCAGTGAAGGGAACGGGCTCCGGCCGGGACCAGTGAAGGGAACGGGCCCCTCTGCGGCTCCGGGGCTGCGGAGGCCGAAGCGCTGCCGGGATGGGCAGCTCCCTCCCGGGGGACGGAACACGGGGCCGGGGCCCTGCCCGGGTTTTGCACCAAGGCAGTAACTTGTGTCCGGGGAGGACGGGACCATTTTGTGAGGGCTGGAAGGCCGGCGGGAGCATCCTTAGCCCTGCAGCGACCAGGAGCYTTTGCACTCACGGCCTGTGCATCACCCTGGGGTCAAGGCGGCCCAGGGCGAGCTGCTTCCCCGGGGCTTTCTCAGCGTGTCCCGGGCGCGGGGCGGGATTCCCGGCGGGAGCCCCCGAGGGACCGCGCGGGGAAGGCGCTGGCGAGGGGCGCGCGGCGGCGCCGCGGCCGGGCCGTACCGTGACGCCGTACTTGAGCGCGATGCCCTGCAGCGTGTCGCCGGGCCCCAGGCGGTGCTCCACGTAGCGCTCGGCCAGCGGCGCCGCCACGCTCGCCGTGCTGCCGTACGAGCGGGCCTTGGTGCGGGCCAGCCGCTGCGACAGCTCGGCCTCCGACTCCGGCCCGCCCGGCGCCTCCTCCCGCAGCGACTCGGCCATGGTGCCGCCTCAGCGCGGGCGCGGGGCGCCGGGCGCGGCGCCGGGCATGACCCCCCTCCCCGTCCCGCCCCACCGCGGCGGCGGCGGCCCCGCCAACGGCGCGGGAACGGGCGCTGGAACGGGCAGCCCCGCCGCGCATGCGCCGCACGGGTGGCRGCGGGCGCACGCGCGGGGCCGGGCGGCGCCACGGGCGGGAGGAGGGAGGGCTCGCTGTGCGCGTGCGCGGGCGGAGGGAAATTCCCGCCCTCAGCATGAAGGGCCGCGTGACCGCGGGTGCGTGAGGGAGCGGCGGGCGCAGCCTGCGGGGGCCTCGGCACGAGCAGGGGCCGTCCGTCCTGGCGCTGCTCCCCGCAGAGCCTCGGGGCCCCGCTCGGGGCCTGGCGGTGCGCGGAGCTCGGAGCTCGTGYGCAGGTGGAGATGGCGGTGGAGGCAAATGTCTGGTTTAAATTAGCCCTGTTGTTTTAGTGAACGTGCACTACACAGTCAGTGTATTCCTGACTGGTTACAGCAAAACAGTGAATATTTATTTATTTATTTTAACTGAGAAGTCTGTGCATTGGCTCTCTCTTTTGAAAGCTGAATTTATCTGTGTCTTCATGACCAAAGCTATTACCTGTTTATATGTGAATACCAAAATAGTAAAAACATATGCAAAGTATATATCAGGATATCAATAAGTAGTGTGTATATATATATCCCAGCATTGTTATCCTATAACAACCTAGTATTTTGCTGTGTTTTACAAAAAAAGCTTGTAAAAATAGCCATCTGTCTTGGAACTAAGCAGAAGCAAAATGCAGGTGGAGATTAACTGGTTTAGGGCACAGCTTCAGTATTGCGCAGCTCAGTGTGTGTCCAGTTAATGGTTTGAAAAATCRAGTGCATTGATTGAAAGGGTGGCTCCTTGGGGGTTTAAAATGGGTTATGCCAAGTGCCTGGGTTGTGGGGTTTCCTCAAGGCCTCCTGCAATGAGGAGATCAAGGCAGAGGYGGCAAAGGTTGCTGAAACGGCTGCCTGTTTCCAAGCAGGAAACATAAAAGCTGCTGGTACACGTTTATGTAAGCAGTGTGGTTAGGAAGGGCATGTCAGCCCTCTGCCATCACAGCCCTAGTGTGTCTGAACAAGCCAGCTCTTAGTATGTGGATGGATAAGACTGTACAAATGACTGAAGAAGTCACTGGCAAGATGTGATTGTTTTTTCCCCCCAACAGTTTTRCGGCGCATGGTGGAAGTTGGAGACTCTTCTCGCCGAGCCCAGCTGAGCCTTCCCCAGCCAGGCAGAGCAAGCAGCAAATCAGCTGTGGCACCTCTGCCCTTTCAGCTCTTGGGAAACTCCTCTGCCTGCTGCGAGCTGCATCAGCAATTTAGCTGTGACCCACCTAGTGAAAGAAGAGCAGAACTGCAGGTCAGCATTTATTAAAAACGCCTACCACGTCTGTAGTGCCAAGTTGTAGCTCAAATTCAGCCCCTCCAGGCTAATCAATGGGAATTAGAAGCTTCTGGATGCCTGCCTGGAGCTGAAATTACTTAGACCAATTACTTCAGCTAAAGTAGCTTTTAGCAAGGAGGAGCTACAGCTTGATAAMATAGAAAAGTTGTTTAACATTGCTGATACCATGAGCTGAATGTGTGATATGAATTAGTTTGAAAAAGTGTTTGACAGGTTCCCTAATATTAGTCAGTATCATTCTATCTAATGTTGTCTTAAACTGTACTTATATGCAAAGTATGTGCAATACACTGTAAATCAACTGTCACAACTGTGAGAACAGCATCATCATCATCCCTTRTGTTAGCATGAAGCTAACACAGCTATTTTAAATGTTGAAAGCTTTATTTTAGAAGTAAACCTTTTCTAGGAGATATGAGTTCCTTTTGCAGAGCTGCAGGGTTGTCTTTCTGCATCAATAGTTTGCAGACACCCCAAATCTGTGTTATCTGTGTAATCTTGAATTTGAGATACTTCAAGGATACTTGCTCTGACTAGCTCCTTGCCTTTTCTCTGTAGAAAGTGAATACACCAAAATCAGGAATGACTTAGAAAGTGGAACTCAAATTGGGTAACCCCAAAATGAGTGACCTATTTTTTTTTTTTTTTTTTGCATCCATACATTTTTAATATGCATTCAAAATGAATTTCAGAGGAAACTGGAAATATCTTGATAATGAGGCTTCCCTCCAAGAAGGAAAAATGCTTAGCAGTGAGAATGTGATGTCTGTTCTATTGGAGAATCTTTGTGGAGTGATATGTAATCTTTTGGTAGTCGAGGGAAATACTACTTTGCCTGTGGTTCCTTAGTTTTGAGGTTGCAAGATAAAAGGCTCTGAAGGGAAAGGGGGGAAAACGGCTGGGGGGAAAGTTATGAGTTATCCCTGTCTGGCCTATGTAGGAGTTGGGTCTCGCTTCACACTGTTACATTAAGCGGAGCCTGAGTTGACTATAGCCCAAATTCCCACCATTTACTGGTTGCCCTGTTKGAGTGCAGAGGGCGTTAACCAGCTCATCTGGCACACTGTGGAAAGAGACTGCACTGATACCCGCCCCTGAGACCAGGAATGTTTAATGTAAGCATGTAGAACTTTCTCTGTTAGAAGGGGACCCTGCCTTGTATGTTTGGGATTCATACTCCCCATAGTAATATTCTCCCTTTTGGTACCTGTATCAGCAACTTGTTAACATCAATAGCCATGTTAACATGGCTATTTCCTGGTGCACAGTGACTACATAGCAATTAAGGATTAATTTGTTTAGCACCTCACTGTGGCATTGTGTTCAGAAAGAGACTTTCTGGGTATATTTGATTCTGTTCTCTTCCTGTCCTCTTTTGTCCTTGCTTCCTTGTAGTTGCCACTGTGCTATCTTCCCCCACAGTAGCTTCCAGCTCGAAGGAACTTGTCCTTACCCAAACCTGTTTCTTGCATTAAAGTAATCAGTAACTCCCTTGGTAAYGCTAGCATTGAAATCACATCACTGTGGATTGGACTTGACACCCTAATCAGATTTATATGGGACAGAGGAGTTCACTCCTCTGAGTCATTGTTCTGTCTGCAGACATCACTGTGTCTATTACTCATTTCACATTTGGGAGGTTATTGCTGCAATTGCAAGAGGTAGAAACACTTTTTAATGAAAGATTTAATTTTGGAGACTTGGACTAAGTGTTGTTGAGTGTCTGATATATCATTGGTCTGAGGGTTCTTCAGAGCTGATTTTTCTGAGGAAAAAGGGAGGGGAAAGTCCTTTGTGCTTTGTTTGTGGGGGCATGTTCAGACTTTAGAAGATAACTAGGTTTGCATTCTCAAATAAAATCCTTGCATAGGTGTTGATTAAGGACAGGAAAGGTGTGTGGGGACTAATATTATGGTATTTACTCATGCAAGCAGCAGTTACTAAAGTGAGTCTGACATTGAGTAAGGCTTTCAATTCAGGTACTTTCAGCTCTCTTGTTTTCCAAAATCTGTTTTGAGGATAAAGGTTATTGCATTTTGTCTGTTTGTTTGTTTTTTCCAACTATGCTTCATAATGAAACTTTCTCAGTAACCAGTGTTATTTAAGTCTATCCAGTTCTTTGACTTCCAGTTAGCGTTGAATACYTCACTGACGCTTTTATCTTTGAAAATCATCCACATCTAGGTTGAGTTGCACAGTGGTTTGATTTTGTTGTTGTAGTTCCTGTTGTGTAGGTTAACCAACTCGAGCAGCAAACTTCTAAAATAGAGCTCAGTATGAATTGAGTCTAGGTAAGGTAGCACATATAATTTAATGACCAGATAAGCAGAGAAGAGAATGTGTTTAAGCTAGATGATCATCCTGTTAACTATAAAGATGTTCACAAAGATATTCATCAGCCACCTTTTTAATAAAGAGGCCCTGGACCAAATTTGCCTAATAAAGGGTTAAATAAAAGAAACAACGAGCATTTCTGAGTTTTGTTATTTATGATGCAAGTCAGGGACACTAGAACCTACAATATTTGTAGCAATGTTGGACAGGATTGTTTCAGGGAAAAAAATCCATTTTTTTCCCATACCACATGAGTGTGGGAAAATTCACCCAATATGAGAAGAAAACAAGGCTGTTCCTTGATAACATATCAAGCTAGTGTATTCACCTCAGTTCATATTGCAACCTCTCATAAAAGCTGATAGGATGTAGGACAGGGATCAAAGAGGCAAATCCTGCCTTTTATGAATAATAGCCCTGGGTTCTTGAATTAATTGCAGGAAGGAGAGAAGGAAAGTCCTGCATGAATTTCAAAAGGAAAGTAGATTTWTCTGAACTGATGCACATTACTTAAGCCGTGCACATATTTCTCATCAAAATAAGCCCATTATGTAGCAGTAACAGCTGTRAGCCTTTATTAATATTTAACACTCTTAGCAGGAGTTACTATGGGTTTTCATAATAAGGTTACAGGAGAGGGTTGCAATATCAAGTGCTGTGAGTTKATATTCTCAGAGCATTTTTGGCTTTATTGTATGAAGCACTAAAAGTTTTATATATTCTTTTTCCTACCATTTGCAGAGACTGAATGTCCTTCGAAGCTGCAATGTTCATGGTTATCAAGGGAAATACTTCGTACTTTCTCATCCTTTCCAGCTTTTCTTTTATATCACCTGCCACTCGGTATGTGTAGGTTGCAGGTTGCCTGCTGGTTGTAGTGGTCTGRCTTGCAAGAAGAAGGAAGTGGTTGGAGTCCCTCTGCATGGCAAGACTTAGTTTGTCATATCACAGACACATTTGGTTTCTTCAAACTGAGATCCTTAGTGTGAAGTGTTGGAGAATGGTGATACCACAGGAGGASGGGATTCAACCCCTTCATCCTACTATCCTTTCAATTGATTCTGTTTTCTGGCTGTGCATGCTGAAAGGGCAGCTAGTCCTTGGGCTATTTATATTTGTTTCTCTTGAAAAGAAATGGGCTAAACGAAGTGGAATGGATGTGTTTGTCCACCTGCATTGAACGCCATCCATGGGCCAAATTAGACCTTGGGTACCCAGCCTGACCCAGTGCTGGGGGCTTGACAAGCGGGGARTTAGTTGCTGCTGGCACAACTTTGCATGAGGGAGTGAGAAAGTATTCAGGA